GAATATTGGCTTAATTAAATTAGATTTATAACATGATTGTCATTCTATAATATATAATTGGTAGATTTCGTTTTTGAGTGAGTATATCTCAAAAATGGATATCCTTTGGGTGAATAGGATAAGATCGGAATGAAACTAGAGAGTCTCTAGTTGAAATTACATTTTAATTTCTGTAGCTATTTAAAATACGGCTGCAAGAAAAAACGTGCAATGGTGCAATTACCTTATTAACACGCTTACACAGCTTTAAGCAGTTTTTTTAAACAAAGTAGGCCATGCCTCAGCGAAAAAACAACTTATAGGCAGTAATTTATTATCAGTGACAGTTAATAGTATCTATTGGTTATAGAGAATTGTTCTCTCGATAATTTTGAAGTTTTTGGAATAAAAATGACTACACACGTAAGATTTAAATTGAACCATGAAAAAAATAGAGGTATAGTCTGTGCCCAATGCGGAGAAAAGATAATTTTTGGAAAATCCCTGCCCAATAGCATGTTTGTAATAACTGTAAGATTGGAAAGATTGCTTGTTAAATCCGTAATATAGTCTAAGCAATATCAAGTTTTTAACTGCAATTTGCGGTACATGCAGGCATACTCTGCGAATATGAAAAAAATATTTAAACACGCAAGATGGTGAAAATGCCAGACTTTGAAAAAGAAAATGTTATTACAAACTCTACTAGGAATATCCAAAATGAGGTGTATGCGTGAAGAATATGCACAACAGCAAGATTCAAAGAAAGGTAACACGAGGAAGGGGAAATACAAAAAACATAGAAAAAAAGGCTCAGGATACCGAAAATAAAATTATTTGGGCAAAATCTGTTTCACAAGAGTTGGTAAAAAACATTTATGTACAAATTCAGAAAGACATGGAAATGTCGTCAATATTATAAAAAAATTTACGCCGAAAACTCAAGAACAAGTCGTTTCTTCAGTTCTCAAGACCCGAGTATTAAAATCTAATAATTCATCATCTTCACGCAAAAATGCTTCTATTAGTCTAACGAAGATTGTCTACAGAAGATTGTATTAGATTTTTGAACGGTGCTGGGTTGGGCACATGGTCTGAGCAGGCTGGGGAGTCGATTAGTAGTAGACTTTAGTTCTAACAATTTGTAAATGATTCATAGTTTTCTGTAAAGTAATTTTAGGTATCATTATTGTTTAATAAATTAAAAGATTACTATTATTAATAAAAATTAAATTATGAAAAAACTTCACTTTTTTCTCTCAAATTAGAAAATTTATTGATTTATAAAAAAATGGAAAAATATAAATAGTGATTTTTTTTCGACTCTCTCTTTATATTGTAATTCTTGATTCTTTATTGAAATTGATGATTGATAGGTCATACTAATATTTAGCGGAGTCCGCCTAAAATTGTAAATTTTAGACATCACTTCATCAATTTTTGCAAAAAATCCAGAAAATTGCAAAAAAATAAAGAAGATCAGCTAGGATTTTGAAAAATATGGTATTGGAGTGAGGAATAGATGCATATTCCAAAAATAAAATCCGTTTTGGTTGACATATTTATGTGACCTGAGACTTGTTCAGGCACACCGTGTGGTATGATTAATAATCGATGATGTCATAATCAAAGCATATTTTAATAGAAGGCTAGAAAAAGTTTTACTTAGTTACGAACTGACAACTGATATTTATTATTGTATAATCGTTCTGAAATAAAACACGTTTCAAAAGAAGCAATAGTTCTTAAATCATTTATCTCCTAGAGTTGTCATGCGGCAGCCCAGTTACAAGAACAGACATCGCCAATGCCACCACCGACGATGCAACGCTGAGCGCTGTATACGCCGCCCTATCCACCACCTGGCCGATGCCTGTACCTGCTGCTTTACAGCCCTACTACAACGTTTGCACTGAGCTCTCTACCCTTGACAACTGCATCCTCCGCGGCGACAGAGTCATCGTCCCCGCAAGCTTGCAGGACCGCGTCTTAACCAGCCTCCACGCGGCGCACCACGGCCTTACCAAGGTGAAGGCCATCGTCAGCAGTTTCGTCTGGTGGCCGCGTATCAACACCCAACTGATAGCCATCACGGACCGTTGCATCACTTGCCAGGAGCATAAGCGCAACCCCCACTGTTCATACAGACCCTGGCCGGCGCCCGCCAAGCACTGGGAGCGCGTTCACATTGACTACGCCGAGATCAAGAGCCAATACTTTCTCCTCATGGTGGACGCTTGGAGCCGATGGCCAGAAATTTTCGTGGTAAGCTCATTGTCTGCTGCTGAACTAATCAGGTGCACACGCTACGCATTCGCCACGCATGGCGTACCCCAGCTAATCGTGTCTGATAATGGCCGACAATTGGTATCCGTCGATTTTGACAATTTCCTTGCAAGAAACGGCTCGAAGCATCTTAAATCAGCTCCGTACTTTCCGCAATCAAACGGACTTGCAGAACGTCACGTTGGCGTTTTTAAAGGATTTATGAAGAAGTTGACGGAGGGCGACTGGCACGCCAAAACCGCACGCGCACTCTTTGCGATGCGCATAACTCCTTCAGCTATCACAGGAGAAGCACCTGCCGAGAGAGTTTTCAACCACCATATCCGCTCGCCTTGGGACTGCATGCGACCCCAGCATGAAGTACCGCCTCCGCAGGACCTGGCACCGCCGACTTTTAAAATAGGGCAGCCTGTTAGCTTTCGGGACCACAGGCCCTCAGCGCCAAAATTTTCACCGGGCACGATCGTGAAAGTCCTGGGATACAGGATATATAAGCTGGTAGATAACAAAGGCATGATGCATACAAGAAACATCAACCAGCTGCACCTCAGGCCACCCGATGAAAAAATAACTACGGCCGTGACGCTACCCGAAGTTATTGTCCATCCCCACGTACCACTATGGTGCGACGACGATGACGCTGATGCCCAACTGCCGCCACCTCAGCGACCGCCGAAGGAACACCGGGCCTGCGAACCAACGCCGCCGCCGCTACAGGTGCCACCACCGGAGGAACAGCGGGACCAGGAGCCGGACGCACCCTCTCCGCCGTCTCACTACTGCCTGCCACAGCGAGAACGACGTCGTCCAAATTGGCACCGTGATTTTGTTTTTTTATGAGGGGAAGAGTTTACAAATATGGGATTTTTCTACTTAATGTATGCGTATTTTTAGTTTTGTTTAGCATTCGTAAATCAAATTTCTATTGTATAAAAGTTACTTATATTATAATTTCAAACATTTAAACATTAGGGAGGGCATGTCATAATCAAAGCATATTTTAATAGAAGGCTAGAAAAAGTTTTACTTAGTTACGAACTGACAACTGATATTTATTATTGTATAATCGTTCTGAAATAAAACACGTTTCAAAAGAAGCAATAGTTCTTAAATCATTTATAGTACAAGAGAAACATAATATATGATATTTACCCAATGAAACCGAAGCAGCACATTTCACTCGTCCTGCAGACTCGTGAAATCTGCAGCTCGGTTTCAATTCGAAAATATCATCAATGATACTTATACCACTTGTCATATTATGGGTGAAAACAAAATTAGATAGAAATTTATACCCGAACTTGATCCATGGTTTAGAGGATTCTATGAAAGATTGGTAGGAATAGTTAAACACTGTCTTCAAAGAACCATTGACAACGGTAGGTACAAAACAAGAACACATCCTAAAACCTTCAGATTTCTTACAAATAGGGGGTCCCCTCGCAACGCAACCATCAGACAAAAAAACTTTCGAACAGGCAACAGTAACCAAAACAAATTTAATTGAAGGATGGAAACGAGCTCAAATTATATTGGAAGAGTTTGCAAAAATGTTTGTAAATCAATAGTTGACCAGTCTTAGAGATAGGAGAAACTTACACAAACAACCTAGAATAATTACCGTTGCTGTTCCGCGTGTAGGGGATATAGTACAAATTAAAGGCGACACAGATGGCCAAATCAGGGTAGCAAAGGTTTCAGTGGACCATGGAGAAATTTTAACTAGATCTATCTCACACCTTTATCCCTTGGAATTCAGTGAAGGTGAAGGTGTTACAGATGAGGCAGTTTCAAATGAAACAGATGACATTGTAGGTGAGGCACAGGTTGGAGAGTCATCTAAGGGAACAGAAAAGGGGACAGAGGACGACATCAGACAGACGATAAAACCAGCTTTAGGACACAGACCCATAAGATCATCTGCTGTAAGCGCTAAGGAAAGAATTAATAAATGGGCTTCAGTTCTTTTTTCAACTCTGAAGAGGGGAGTGTCGTGACATCTCGCTATTGATTAAATAATATAGCAATTATATATTACAGAAATCTATTTATTTAGTTATCTAATGTTTTTTATATAAGGAGTTGGTACAACAAGATAAAAATTGCCAGAACAAAGAATTTCGAGGTAAAGGAAAATGTTAGTAAGAAAAAATATATCACATATATATTATTGTTAAGGTAAGTCAATATTATCCTTATAGATTAACAAATTAAGTTGTCAAAGTAGAATCAACAAGATTCTAAGAAAAGTAAATCACGCGAGGCTTGGGGTGGCTAAAGGGATGCAGATCCCATTTTAGTCTGAGATCAGATAAGATTCGTAATACTTAAAAGAGTGTATCACGACAGTAGGTGTAATATAGTAAATTACAGTAATAATATTACAAGGTGGCGATTTCTAAAGATTGTAAAGTTTGTTGCACGAGCGAAGCGAATGTAGCAATACATGCTTTAGAAATCGCCGCCTTTCGCCACGAGATATGAACACTTTTTCATTACAAGTGTGACGGAAATTCGACTTTCGCTGCTTTTTCACAGATAGAGAGAAAAAATCGTTAATATTTAAGCGTTTTTATTCATTCTCCAGCACGGCATAGTAAAGGAAACGCATAAACAAAAATTCATCAACACAATTAAAAAAGTTAAAATAAATTTAGAGAAGATAAAATTAAAACAGATGATCTTTATAATGTTTTATTAGTTTTAATAAATAACAAAGTGTGTAAGCGTATGAATTTGTAAATACCTAATCGCTAAAGAAAGAAATCATTATTAACTGTTTGCTCAATTTCAGAAAGAACATTGTATAATCTCTTTTTGACTTCATCTTTTGGAGACGTGCGGGCCTTGCTTTGATCATTTTCAGGATTTGCGCACTGTCTTAAAATGTATGCTAATTCAGATGGGGTGTGCTGAGACATTAGCAAACCGGGAACTATGACTGATTTGGACATCCTCCAACCCAAAAAGATTTTCTCGCATACAATTTGCAAGTTATTGTTCGCCACATAATTTGAACATTTTTTCGTTTTTTTATTACACTTCGACCTACAATCATAAAAATCACAGTCATCGTCTTTTTCACACGATTCAATCTCTTTAATAAAATTATTTATAACAGACTTCGGCAGGACACCATCTAAATCAATAAATTTTAACTTATTTCCTCCTTTAACCAACCCAAAATGTTCTAGCTTAATATCACATAGATGAAATGGTTCTCTAAAACCAGTTTCAAGCTCATCTAGTAGATCCAGGATTTGAATAGAAATTTTAAGTCTTCTCCCCCAATCCTCACGATTATCACTTAAAGTCAACAATGATGATATGTCAGGCACTTTATTCAAATATTCAACAACGTAGTATGGACCACAGGTCCCAAGGAGTTGTGGAAACACATCCTTATCCGTAAATAAGGCTGAAAGTAGGTACTCGTTATCTTGGAGTAAAAACCATAAATTATCAATTTCTTTTTGGCGCTTTAAACGATCCTTTTCTTCATAAGATGGTTTTAATCTTGATAACCTTACTGCTGTTTCGTAGGACAGAGTCAGATTTAATTTGTTTTTCACTATTGTGCGGATTGTTGATAGGAACTCTTTTTCGGTTGGATATTTGACTACGCCATTGTCAAACCAATGGATGGACTGAAAATCTTTGGGTACAGATTTAAAAACTAGACGTATATTGTGCCATTCTGCGCTGAAAACTGCCTCTTTGGTGGCTTGAAACGAGTGACAGGTTAAGGAGTGGATATCTTTTGTAACGCAGAGAGGTGCACATAGGGAACCAATTGCGAATCCGTCCTCGTAGAGTTGACACTGGAACAAAAAAATAATGCATTTAATTTTGTAACGTTTAAAACCACCGTGGGTGATTACGTTACTTTTACACGCGGCGATTTTACAGAATGCTATCGAAGGCCGGGTACGGTGCCCCTCACTCAGTCGAAGACGGGGTGGGTATGAAAGTATGTTATTTTAGGCGCCACGTGATTTTGCCGTACCAAGCCTATGCTAATTATGTAACTACTAGAATAAAACCACGAAACTAGATTTAGTAAATAGTGTATATATATATATGTATATTAACAAAATAGTATCTCTGTTATAGTGTAATATTTTACAAATGGTAAATAAATATTTAATATCTAACGATATTAACCTATGCGTGATCACGTAAGGCGAACAATAGTTGAAATAATGATTATAATATATATGCTACAAACGGTTCAAGACAACGTACGTTATATTTATATACTAATATTGGACGACACAAGACATGAAACTTAACAGATAGGTGGCAGTTCTGGGTTTCTCGGGACTTAATGAAGACGTCGCGACGCCGGGAATGTCAGGCTGATGATCTGAACGCGTTACCAGGCTGGTGACAGATCCAACACCTAAAAATGTAAAACAAGTTCGCAGAATAGTGGGTGCAGCTTCCTGGTATAGGAGATTTATACCAAATTTTTCGCACATTGTCTCTCCTATGACCGCTTTGCTTTCCAAGAACAAAAAATTTGAATGGACAACCCAATGCGAGAATGCACTGAACAAAATCAAGGAAAAATTAATATCGGCACCTGTCTTAACATGCCCAGATTGGAACAAACCTTTTATTGTTCAAACTGACGCATCGGGATACGCAATTGGCGCTGTTCTGTCACAGTTATACGAGGATGGTGAAAAAGTTGTTTGTTTTTTAAGCAGAACCCTTTCAAAAGCGGAGAGATTGTACACCACAACCGAGAGAGAATGCCTCGGAGTGCTCTACGCCATCGAAACTTTAAGACCCTATCTAGAAGGTGTGGAATTCACTGTAATAACCGACCACCACTCACTTGTTTGGCTTCATAACCTAAAAGACCCTCAAGGAAGACTTGCTCGATGGGCATTACGTCTTCAACAGTACAAATTTAATATAATCCATAGAAAAGGCAAGGACAACGCAGTAGCTGATCTACTATCAAGATCTGTTCGATCAGAAAATCCCGAAGACATGCTTAATATCATTGAAGAAGATATCAAGGACAAATGGTTTAGAAAAATGAAAGACGAAGTTAAAAACTACCCAAATAAATATCCAAATTGGCGAATCTCAAACGGCAAACTTTACAAATACGTTAAATCCTCGTTTAAATTGGAAAACGACCACGAAAATTGGAAGCAAGTCATACCAAAGGAAAGAAGAAGCGATATAATAAGGAAATATCACGACGAGCCCACCGCTGGACACCCAGGGATTAATAAAACAATCCATCGTATCTCCCAGAATTTTACATGGCCCAAAATGCGTAACGACATCATAAAGTACGTAAGAAGATGTGAAGAATGTTTAAAGCATAAACCCTTACAGAAAAAACCTGCGGGATTATTCCTCACGCAAAGTGCGAATGTAAATAGACCATGGGAAGTTATTAGCACGGATTTAATTGGACCTTACCCACGATCATCATCAGGATTTAATTATGTATTGGTTGTAATGGATCTATTTACCAAATTTCCACTAACGTTTCCAATGAGAAAAGCGACGGCATCGGAAGTAACAAAAAGGATAGAAGAGAATGTAATACTATTATTTGGAGCACCAAAAACGCTAATTTGTGACAATGGAGTACAGTATAAAAGTAAGATATTTAAAAATATGTGTGAAGAATACAAAATCTGCCTTAAATTTAATGCACACTATCACGCCCAAAGTAACCCAACAGAAAGATTGAATAAAACCCTAAAAACCATGATTGCAATGTACATTAAGGAAGATCAGAGGAAATGGCCGGATAAGTTACCAAAAATCTCATGTGCACTGCGCACTTCTCGACACGAAAGCACTGGATTTACACTGTATTACCTAAACTTTGCCAGGGAAATTATCTTATCAGGAGATGCTCATGATGACTTAAAGGAGTTAAATGCTGAACAGCATAACCCCCTGAAAATTAATAAAAACTTGGAAAACATCTACAAAATTGTCAAGGCCAAATTAACTCAATCTAGTAATAAAAATAGGGAAATCTATAACTTGCGGAGACGACCAGATAAGTTTGAAATTGGCGATTGGGTATTACGTAAAAACTTTACACTTTCTAAGGCAGCTGATTTTTATTGTAGTAAACTTGCTCCATTATATGTTGGCCCATTTAAAATTGCAAAAATATTGTCACCGTGGACTTATGAACTAGTTGATAATAATAATGTGGTAAAAGGTGTGTTTCACGCTAAAGATTTGAAAGATTATCATAAAGACATAGGATGAAAATTTCTGCGAAATTTTCTAGGGGGAAAGGGGGGAACTGTAACGTGTTAATTTCCATTTTGGTTAATAAAGCTCAAATAATGATCAAAAACATTTATTTAAAGTAAGTAGCTATATACATTTTTTATTACTGTGTAAATAATTTTGGGGGACGCACTGTATACAGACATCAAAATCTGAAACCTAAAATAAAGATTTAATAATAATAATATAATAATATATATATATATATATACACTATTTACTAAATCTAGTTTCGTGGTTTTATTCTAGTAGTTACATAATTAGCATAGGCTTGGTACGGCAAAATCACGTGGCGCCTAAAATAACATACTTTCATACCCACCCCGTCTTCGACTGAGTGAGGGGCACCGTACCCGGCCTTCGATAGCATTCTGTAAAATCGCCGCGTGTAAAAGTAACGTAATCACCCACGGTGGTTTTAAACGTTACAAGGGCAGAAATCTAGATCTCTACTTGAGGTGTTGAAGTCGAGGTAGGGTAGAGCCCTTAAAGAGTAATGGCTGCCATTAGTGGCGCATTATTTAAAGATAAATCACTTACGATTTGGGCGATGTTACAAAATATTAGTTGGATCTGATCAGTGTGTCTGCAGGAAAGCAGGGCCCAAAAGATGGTGGGTCGGCTCTTGGTGATGCTTAGGATATTTCCAGAAAGCGGTAGCGTCCCGTAAGCTTTAATCCGGAACAATCCGATATGTGTGTGTGTTTCAACAATAACTAACTAAACAATACACTACACAATTTAATAGTGCAATGATCCCTGTAATACTCCAGTTTATAACTGAGCGGCTAATTTCAATCCGCAAACAGGGCAGCACTTTGCTTAAGCAGGACGAGCAGGAATTCAACTTTACTACACACCTTAAATCTGCATACTGACTGGAGTTAAAAACCAGCCAACCAGAAGCGCTTGATTTGAAGACCAGGACTAAGTAGGGGTGCGCAAAACCCACTTTACATATTGCCCTATTTATAAAAACGCTAAGATGGATTCGATTTCCTAGCAAGGTTGCCAACTGACAATAACAAATTGTGCCCAAACGATATGAGAAGTGCCACCAGGATAAAACGAGAGACTACCAAACGAACACAAACAAGGTAGGTACAAATACATTATTTAATTATTTACAATTCAACAAAACAATTATTAATCTTTATTTTAAGTTTCAGATTTTGATGTCTGTATACAGTGCGTCCCCCAAAATTATTTACACAGTAATAAAAAATGTATATAGCTACTTACTTTAAATAAATGTTTTTGATCATTATTTGAGCTTTATTAACCAAAATGGAAATTAACACGTTACAATTTATTTTACTAAGAAACCTCATTCTAGGAAAACATCAGCAGCATCGTTAGATTGTATAGTCGCGGCCAAATCTGTATGCATATATGGGTGCACGCCATCAAATTGCAATAATTTTATAAAAAAAGGTTTTAAAAACAAGAAAACTGTTACAGTTCCGTAAACAATACACTTATGAGTTATTTTACTTAGATATGATATACGAGGTGTGTTCAGAAAATATCGGGAATTTTCGTTTTTAAAAAAAAATATTTATTTATTCGTCTACATTAATGTTGTCGCCTTCAAAATAGTCCCCATTGGATATTATGCACATGTGCCAGCTCTTCTTCCAATACTCGAAACACTTCTAAAACTCGATCTTTGGGATAGCCTTCTTTCAGCGATGCGCTTTTAATGTCATATATGCTTGCAAAACGACGGCCCTTTAAGGTTCTCTTTATTTTTGGGAATAGGAAAAAGTCAGACAGAGGCATGTCTGGCGAATATGAAGGCTGGGGCATCATTACAGTATTGTTTTTGGACAAAAATTTTGTTCAAAATTTAACAATTTTGGAACAAATTTTGCTGCCACGCGTTTCATACCGAAAACATTCGAAAAATTTTTATGAGATAAGCCAATCGATATACCAACATCATCAGCGACTTTTCTGATGGTTTATAACCATTTCTTCCACTTTTTTCATGTTTTTATCGGTTGTTAATGTGCTTGGGCGTTCGGGGCGTTCGTCATCTTCAACGTATCCACGGCCATCTTGAAAACTCTTATACCACTTGTAAACTCTTGTTTTACTTATAGCAGACTCACTATAGGCCTTTGTTAACATTTCACAGAATTTATTTCATTTTTTAAGCAAAATTGGATACAAATTTCTTTGATCCATTTCTTTCTGTGATTTCTTTTAATGAACGAAAATCGCCGAGCTCATAAAACAAGTCTAACCTTAGCGGCTGCCACAGACAAAGTAAACCATGAAAACATAACAAAGAAAATTTTATGACAACCGGACCCTCCGAACCCGCGAAATTTAACAATTCCCGTTATTTTCTGAACACACCTCGTATATGCTATGATAACAAGAAATTGCCATAGTAATTTCTTGTGCAAAAATGTTAAACATGTTTTACTAAAACCAATTAAGACTGTAAATCGAGAGTATACATGGGTACCTACGTGTTTCCTATTAATTTACATGGCAAATTTTACAAAATTCAATTTATACCGGGTGAGTT